AGTTTATTGGTACATTTTAGGGATACAGTGCAGTTACATTCATTGTTGGGCTCTTGTACCTCTACATGACAGGTCTTGGTTCTCATTTTTTCCCCTTGTCCTTGCCCTCCCTTCACCCCCTCCTCCCCTCCCCATCTACAAGCACTTTATTTCCATCTTTTCTTTATCTCACATTTTTTTCTTTTCCCTTATTACCCTTCCCCCTACCCATCCCACCTTCCCTACACCTTTAGCCCCTTTCTTCCCATTTCACAATGTCAGTAATCTTATTAGGATCTTATGTATTATTGCAGTTTATTCACACCAGAGAAGCTGTTCGGTATTTACACATGTGTGACTTATTTATTTCACTTAGGAGTATATCTTCAATATGTATCCATTTTCCTAAGAATGAATCTATTTTCTCGTTCTTAGTAGTGGTTTTTTAAAAAAATTTTTGAACCCCACTGTGTAGTCCACTAGGTTGGCTTCAAACGCATGATCCTTAGCCTCCCAAGTATGGGATTATAGGTGTGTACCACCACACCCAGCCTCCAAATCTCATTTTTCTTTTTTCTTCTTCTTTTTTTATAGGACCTTGAGGCAGGTGCTGCACCATTGAGCTAAATCCCCAGCCCTAAATCTCAATTATTAAATATAAGTTTTACTGTGTTTTACTAAAGATGCACATATCCACCAGTAACACATGGAGAAATTCACTGTTACCCAGGCCAAAGAAAAATAAAATATTAAAAGTAGTTTGTGGGGCCTGTCTATCTTACCTCCAAAGGTCAGGGTATGCCTGGAATATTACTTCCTGGTAGCAGATACAATCTTAGGTGGATTTCCTGGCATTCCAAGTAGTTCTGATGGTTGAGGAGGAAAGGGGAGAGAGAGATGATCCTAAGGCACCTCCTCAGGTTAACTTGAAACTCTTAACTCTGGGAGGTCTCTAGGATCCTATCTAGCCCGGGTCTCTGGAGGTTTGTGAAAACAAGCCCCTTGTTCTAACTTTGGTTATCCACTGAAGTTCAGGAGTTGCAGCATCCCTTCGAGGCTCCCCAGCTATCTTCTGCAAGGTATTTCCTTTAGCCCTATCCCTGAGTCCCAGAGAAGTGATCCTTTTGCCAAGGACCATACTAGCAGATGCATTAGTACTTGAACCCATTTGTCTCTACCTCCCAAGCTCTCATGCTGTCTGCCAGTTCTTAGTGTTCCCTTGAAATTCTGGAATAGGCACCAAATACTAGCAACTTGAATTAAATTAAGGGTGATGCTTTTATAGGTCTCACTTTAGGTAAAGTATTTCATCATCTTTTCTTTCCTTCTATGCACCCGCAAGGTCATTCTTCTCTTCTTGTGCACAGGAACAGTAAGGCACAAGTAGAATCCATGATGGTGATCCACACAGCAGGGTACCCCAGCCCACCCAGTGATTCCCTGCAAAGCATCTCTCCCCTAGACCAGGGCTTTCCAGTGCTGACTGTTGGGTTGACAGACCAAGAACATTTCAAAGTCAGAGTCTCACGGAGAGTAGCTGAAATTTAATGTTGCCAATTTAGAACTTTAGAAGAGCAAAAACCAATAGCAAAACTATACCATTGTCATTGCTCCAGAAAAGAAAACACATCTGAACGTCAAAAGGCGAAATAGTTATACTTTCAGGACTAACAGCAGGTTTTTGTTTTTTGTTTTTTGGTTTTTTTGTTTGTTTGTTTGTTTGTTGTTGTTGTTGTTGTTTGAGACAGGGTCTCAGTATGTAGTTGAGACTGACCTGGAACTCACTGTGTAGCCCAGGCTGGTCTCGAACTCACAGCTCACAGCCATCCTCCTGCCTCAGCTTCCGGAGTGCTGGGATACAGGCAGAGAACTCACTGTGTAGCCCAGGCTGGTCTCGAACTCACAGCGATCCTCCTGCCTCAGCCTCTCAAGTGCTGGAATTGCAAGAGTGCGCCACCACACCCGGCACAGCAGGTTTTAAAACAATATAAATTTAGCTTTGTGAAACATTGGGTGCATTATTCATATCATCCCAGTGGAAGCTATGTTGTAAGTGGTCGTGGGTCCACCAAGAGCCACTTTCAGCCATGCCCATCCCTGTCATCATGCCCTGAAATGTGTCCTGAGCCTCTCTGCCCTCTCCCTCTGCACAGTAGAGTGGATAATCATCATAATTACCCATACCCTATATTTATCTAGCTCCTTTCTCAGGACTTTCTCCTATTAATGCTCTTAGCATGTCTGATGAGAGTTGAGAAGGGGTGTTAATTATCTCTCCCTCACCAATGAGGAAAATGAGGCTGAGCAGGGAGGAAGTGAGCCTGTGGCTTGAGACCAGTGTGCACAATGGCGGAGTCACTGCCCTGCTCAGAAGCACTGTGGGCTGTATCCCTCTGGGGATATGTTATCTGTGGCCCTGGCCCAGGGAGTGGGTGGCCACTTTGGGGAAGGTAGTGGATGCCCTTGAAAAATCCAGCCTTTGAGAGTTAATCAGTAGTCAGCAAGAGCAGGTCAGTGTGTGAAAGTTGATGGGACCTCCCTGGTTGAGGCATTGTAGGAGTTCAGCAAGAAAAGTTCCCTGGAGATGGGGAAGAGGAACTCCCTGGAGGAAGTAGGCCCAAGCAAGACCCTAAGAATGGAGAGCATGGCGCAGGCAGAGAGGAAGGGCCTAGTGAGCCCAGGCATCAGAAGAGTGGGTATCGACAGAAACCAGAGACCAGTGGGGAAGGAAAACTTAGCTTTCCTGGGGCTTGGCTTTGCTATGCTCTTAGTAGGCAGCAGGTGATGGGGAGGGGTGCCTGTGGCTTGCACTTAGCCATGGGTACCCTTTATTCTTACAGAGGAAGTACCTTCTTGCCAGTGACGGGGGCTGGGGTGCGGCCCACTGCTGCATCTCCAAAGAGCTTCATGGACAGATTAGTGCCACTGTGGCAGGGGCAGGGGAATGTTTGTTGGTTGAGCACAAGGATGGAGGCTGGGCCCTGAAGAGGTAGGAGACCCCAGAGTGAGTGGGCCTACATCTAAGGGGAGAACTTAGGGGCTCGGGGCCAGCTCAGTCAACAGCACTGTCTGCTAGGGTAGGGGTAGCCAGCCCAGACCTCCAGAGACCTTAAGGAGGCCCTGAGAGTCCTGCGGCTGGGGTAGCACGAGCAGCCTTGATAAAGCAGGGGAAAGAAAGCGGGTTAAATGCAAGTACTTTTGGTCTCATAGGCTTCACGCTTTCCCCTACTTTCGATAAAATGAGGGCCATGATGCAACAGGCCTTCTCCTCCTGTCTTCTGTCCCATGCTGTTAATGTGGCTGCTCCTCCCCACAAAATTCTTGCTGCTTTAGGGTCCCTGCAGGCTCATTCTGAGGCCTGTCACCCACACATGTACTTGTGCCTATATATATATATATGTGTGTGTATGTATGTATATAAACAGGACCCCCGAATTATAAGCTTGAGAGCCCATAACTCTTGGCTCAATCCCAGCCTCCTCACTCATGTTCAGAATAAGTACCTGAATTCCTGAGTGCCAGAAGAGACAGACAGGACCCAGTCTTCAGCTACCTGATTCTAGACATATACACAAAGCAACTGGGGGCACATAAGCATTTCATTAAGAGCAATGATGTAGTAATGGAGCACAGGTATGGAGAGAGGATACTGAGGATTTCAGGGAAGGCTTCTGGAGGGGGAGGTTCTGAGTGGGATCTTAGGCAAATCATGGCTTCTGGCTCAGTGGGGGTCTTCATTTCAGGACAGTGTGTGTGGGTGGGTGGAAGCTTTGGGGTGGAGCCTGCTAACCTCGCTGTCTCCTTTCAGCCGCAGCACATGTGTGAGGCCATGCTGATCCTGGGCAAGCTGCATTATGTGGAGGGCTCCTACCGAGATGCCATCAGCATGTACGCGCGGGCCGGGATCGATGACCTGTCTGTGGAGAACAAACCTCTGTATCAGATGCGGCTGCTATCTGAGGCACTAGTCATCAAAGGTAGCTGCGACCACTGGCTTGGGCTCCCCACACCATGACCAGCTCTTTCCTCCCCTCTCCCCCCGTGGCAGCCAAGGGGAGTGGAGGCAATGTTAGGGACAGGCCTGCAGGGCACTGTCCACACCCAACCCTGGGCTGGGCCCAGACACTGGAGTCCACGACTGGAGGGTTCTCAGGGGACTCGGATTCTTGCCCCAGACTCTGTCCACAGCCCTTTTCTCAGCTGTGTGCCCTGGAATAAGCCTCTTTTCCTTTCTTGGCCTCAGTTTTCTCATCTTTAAGATAGGATTAGCCTCCCAGGGTTCCCGTGTCTAGGAAGAGTCAGCTGAGTTGTGTGCCCAGGTTGAGAAAGACTTAAAACAGTGCCGTCTCCTTGTCGGGCTGGCTCTGCAGCTGTACATTGGTGCTCATCGCTATGGAGGCATCTGTCATTTCCAGGGAGGAGCTGCCAAGATACAGCTCACAACCTTCCTAGGGCAAAGGGCACTCTGCGGGGAGCTTGGGGACATAGGCATTTCATGAAGGGGACTTTTGAAAGGTCCTTTTGTGGGAAGAGTGCCATTGAACTGGTCCCAAGTGTGTTTCTCAGACTTTGTGCTTTCCAACCTGGAAGGCCTAGGATGGCCTGAGGATGGGCCTTGGTAGTAGTGAGGTCCTGAGACCCCCTCTGCCCAGGCTATCCTGACAGTCTTGGATATTTGCTCTCTTTTCCAGAACAAACCAAATCTCTGGGGAAAGTCTAGAAATGCCACCAGGTATTTGGTGCCTGGCACTGGTAGAGTATGTGTTTCTATTGTAGATAGGGATATTTTCTATACATGGGGCAACTGAGGCCCAGAGAGGATCTAGGATCTGTAACTTCACCTGAACTTACCCAGATTCATGGTGGAGCCAAGACTAGAATTTCCACTCTCCGATGCTGGCCCCTCCCATCCCCAGCACACACATATTCCTATCTCATCTGGGTCCCAGTAATAGTGACTGTGATGTGTTTGGAGGGCACCAACCCTCCCCACCCTCCCCAGCTCTGACTGGAGGGGCTTTTCTAAAGGTCCAGCTAGGTTCCTGGGTCCTCCACATTACAAAGTTCACAGCATACCGGGAGATCTGCTGGGTTAGCTACTCTGGGCAGAGCAGGCACCAGTCTACAGAAGGGCAGTGCCCATCCAGAAGGTCCAGTCTGTTGAAGTCTTCTCCCTTCGCTCACTTCCCCCTGCCATGCCTGTGGCACAGGTCAGCTTTGGGGTGATCCTCCATTGTTTGCCACTTGGGTCTTTTGGGTTTCTGTGGAGACACCCTGAACCAATTACCTCCTTCCCTGAGTATCCTTTTCAGTCTTTCTCCTGTCAACCTGGCTCGGTACATATCGCTTCCTGTCTCCTGCTCTCTACTCCTTCCAGCATGCCTCCGGCTTCTTGGGGGAACACAGTCCTGGTGCTCAGAGGTCCTGCCAGGGAGGTAAGGAGCTGGCAATGCCAGCCTGGGCTGCTTGGTCGCGGGATGTGCTGCCTCCTCATCCCTCGGTGACTGCATTCAGCTCTTTGCCTGCATCCTTTCTGCCTGCCGTCCTTATCCTGTCTCAGTTACCATACCTGCTGCTCAGCATGCCAAGGTTCAACTGACGGTGTGTTTGAAACCAGGCGTGAGGCCACCAGCATGTGCATGATGTGGGCTTTCCTGGGCCTAGGGGTACAGGGGCCACTCCATGCAGAGTGAAGGCCACATGCAAATGGGATGAGGATGGCTGGTCACTGGACTTACTGCATTTGGAAGAACAAGAGCAGTGGCAGCAGAAGCCCCTTGAGTTCCCTAAGTCCTCACTCTGAGAGGGGTATGCCTTCACTGAGACCTGCCAAGACCTCCCCAAGTCAGTGTCCTCTTCCTCCTGTGTTAGAATGAGAAGCTAAGGTCATTAGAAGCTGCTCCTGTGAGGTCTTTCAAGAAGTGGCAGAGCCAGGATTTGAACCTAGGCAGCCAGAGGTGTTGGACATCTGTGATGTCCCTGCTCAGAATTCTAGGTTAAAAGTGACCATAAGTTATCTAGGCCAAACCCTCATGTTACAAGTAAAGAAAATAAGGCTGATAGGAGGGACATGGATTAGTTTGTGTGTGCATCAGGCTCTTCCATAACCAGGCTGCCCCTTAATTTGGCTCTGTCTGTCTCCAGATGGCGTCTGCCTTTGCCTCGTTCTTATGCAATAGTTGCAGCCATTTTGTGTTGGCTCCATATGATGTTACCCTTGGTTCTATATGATGCTATCCAGTGGGCTGGGAGTTTGGGTCAGGTCTCAAGACAGCTGGCTAGAAGAAGAGGACAGTGTCACAGGAGTGTGCAAGTCGATCACACTGGGAGGCTTGGTGGGACCTGCCTGTAGGCATCTCCAGCTTGGAGGTGATTTTCTTGTTTGAGACTCAGGGGCAAGCTTTGAGTTTCTCTGTCCTGCCCTCACAAGGCATGCAGACCCACTCAGCTGACCCTGATGGGGGACTTGGCAGTGTGCCCCTCCACTGAAGGAGGTGATGATGTATACAATGTGTTAGATCAGAGATCCCCTGATTCTCAGGGAGCTTAGAAACCATCCCAGGAGCTCTTGAGAAGTGGGGCACGGCAATTGTTCTGGATTCCTGTTGCCCAAAGTGTAGAAATGTGGCACACGCATACATGTTTGGAGAGTGTGAGAGTCTAGGGTGAGCATCTTAGTTATTTTTTTGTTCCTGACACACAACATGTGATACCTACAACTTAAAGAAGTTTATTTTGGCTCAGGTTTCAGTCCATAGTCATCTGACTCCAAGGTTGGACAGCATGGCACAAGGGGATGGCGGAAGAAAATTGGCTTATGGCATGGTGGCCAAGAAGCAGACAGAGAGTCAGCAGAGGATCGGGGAAGGGAGATACCCTCCTGGCCACACCCCCTGTGACCCACCTCTTGTGACCAAGCCCCACTTCCTAACAGCAAGTCAACTACAGTGCCCTCATAATCCAGTCACCTTTCAAAAGCCCCATCTGTGAGCCCGTGAGACTCTTGGGCCCATGAGACGTTTGGGCAACATCTAATTAAACTTCACACCCCCAAAAGACTCATGAGCATCTTTTTATGCAAAATGCATTTTGTCCATCTCTAAGTGTTGCTAAAATTTTAATAGTTTCAACATTGCTGAAATGTCCAAGTCCGAAGTCTTCCTCGGAGACTAAGGCATACTGAGTTGTGAAACTCTCAGCTGTGAGTCCTTGTAAAAATCAAAAAGAAAGCCCAGCATAGTGATACATTCCTGTAATCCCAGCACTCAGGAGGCCTGAGTCAGGAGGATCGCTGTGAGTTTGAGGCCAACCTGAAATACATAGTGTGATCCTGTCTCAAAGCAAAACAAAAACAACAACGGGAAAAGAAAGTTAAACACTACCAAAATACAATGGCACAGAATAAACATCCCCATTTGAAAAGGTAGAAATAGGAGTATAGAAACCAGTAATACCAAGCAAGTCCAAAACCCAGCAGGGCAAACATTAAATTTTGTAGTTCCTTGTCCAGCATCCAGAGCAAGTTATGGTAAGATATGGGCTCCAAAGGGCTTGGGCAGCACTGCCCCTATAGCATTTCCAGAAGTTATATCCCTTTTGACCTGTCTCAGGCTGGCTTTGCCTACACCTTGCAGCTTTCCTTAAACATGCTGCATTTCTGACTTCTCCAACTTCCTAGCGTCTCCAGTGCATTTTTGGCTTCACTTCCACAGCTTTGCAAACGGGAACACTGCCTGGCCTCTCAGGTCTTCTTCTGAAATTTGGGTGGAAGCCTCCATAATCCCCATAGCTCTTGTATTCTGCATGTGTGTAAAACCAGCACCAGTGGGTGAACAAGGTCAGTGTCCAGGTCTGTGTCCAGCAGTCCCCAGGCCCCTTTGCATCATGGCTGCAGGGACCTCTGAGTGCCTGGATGGCTGAGTGCTGTGAATGGAATCCTAGGAAGCCAATTTCCTAGGTGACCTTTCCCAGGTAGGGAGCCCTGAGGCTCTTTTCTCAAAGTAAAGTCTTTAACTTTTCTACCCTTGAGTCTGTGAAGGGTAGGGTCCTTCCTCCTGTGGCCTCAAGACATCTTTTATATTGTCTCCACGTAAAGTCTTTGTCTTCTTTTTAACACTAATATTCTCAGCAACCAAGCTCTCTTTTGCTCCAACTTTACAGGTCCAAATTTTATAGGAGTTCCCCTTCTTATGAAACTCAGAACTTTAAAAATTACCCATCTGTGCCATTTGTTCTTGTTTCTCAATGTAGAGCTTGCTAAAAGCTCCCAACAGTACCCATGCCACAGCCTGAATGTTGGGATACCTTGAAATTTTCTCATCTAGATTACTTTGCCACCCTTTATCTCAGTCTCCCCCAAAGTCTCAAGACATGAATAAAATGAAAATTTTTCTCACACAGCATAACACACATATGATCTCGAGTCCAAATACCATGGAGTCCTTATTTCCAACTGAAACCTGAGCTTGGTCTTTACCCTCTACTCTCCTTTTTTTTTTTTTTTTTTTCCTATCAGCATTTTGGTCTTCTGAGTGTCCACCAGAATCTTCATTATGCTCAGCTTACAATATTCTAGGGCTGATTTTCCAACTAGCACCTCCAAACCTTTCCAAACTCCTTCCAAAACTTAGTTCCAAAGGCTTCTGTACTGCATAGGGGTAGTATCACAGCAGTGATCCCACTTCTCTGGTACCAAAATCAGCTTTAGTTACTTTCTTGTTGCTGAGACACAATTTCTGATACCTGCAACTTAAAAGAGGAGAGGTTTATTGACTCCGGTTTCAGCCTATAGCGAGCTGGCTTCAGGGCTGGAAACTGTGGTCCAGGGGCATGGTAGAAAAAAAAAGTGCCTCATGGCATAGTGGTTGGGAAATAGAGAAAGTCAGTGGAGGAGCCTGCAAAGGAGATGTACCCTTCCTGATCACACCCATGTGACCCACCTCCTAATAAGTCAGCCATAATGCTCCCTTAATCCAGTCACTTTTCAAAAACCCATGTTCAAAAGCACCGTGGGGATGCTCAAATACTCTTTGAGGACATTTAGATATAAACCATATCAGTGGGAAAATGGGGTACCTGACCCTCCACCTTCTCTAAGGGAAAAGTTATTGTCTATATCATTTGTTCATAAACCTCATTTCCCCTACTGAGATAGAAAAATAAAATATCTGCATAGGAAGACCATTGTTGTCACATCTGAGTGGTCCACGTCTAGTCCCTAGTCACCAAGGTTTCAGTCACACGTGTGCTCAGGAGTAGAAGACTGGATTTTTAGAGCCTCTTGGTGACCTCTGAGGTGGCCTGGGCCCTGTTGGAGGATCTGGCTTTGGGGGAATCCTGGGCTCTAGTTTGGTCCTGCTTCCAGTGCTTCCAGTGTCACTCAGTTGATGGGTCCATCCAGCAGGCAACCATTCCAAGGTCATCTGTGGACTCTAGGCAGAGCTGAGCCCTCTGCTCCCTGTCAGAATGCCCCATCCGTCCTTCATTCCCCAAGTATAAATTTCCTGAGCTCCTCAGGCCTACCTGAAGTTTGGTGCTATTCCCAGAAATACAAAGCTAGGTGACTGTTGTGTATGTGTGTAGGGTTTGGGGGTAGGATTATCCCAAGTGTATCCCCAAGAGCTAGAGAGTTACCTCTCAGACCCCTCTCAAACCTCCTGAACCTGGATCTACATCTCCTGCCATCCTCAGGAATGCATGGGCACATACAATCAGGGAGACATTGCCCTGGGAACACATTCCTGACAGTTTGAACCACTGATGGTATGTGTATGACTGTCCCATCAAGAGGCTTGTACCACCAGTTGTTCAAAGACATCTGGCAGCACGACATGAATTATGGCCCCACCATGAATATGTTACTCAATATGGTTGACTGATAGGTTAACCTTCATCTCTCTTCTGTGAGGTGGGAGGTGGTTATACCCTTTTATGGATATAGAAACCGAGATTCATGCAAACTCTTCATGAACCTCTAAGTAGTGTCAGAAGCCAGTTGGATGTCTCCAAAGCCATGTCCTACCTGAAACAGAGGCGCCCTCAGAAGATGATGGGAGCACATGGCAGTTTCCTCCCAGATGGGCTGGTATAGAGAAGAACTGTTTCCTCCTCCAGCCTTCTTCAGCCCAAGTGGAATAGGAGCTGGGGCTGGGGGAGCCCTGCACACTACCTCAGGGTCTGCTTTCCGAGAGGCAGCAGTGGTGGTAGGGATTGTTCAAAAAATCTCCTTTTGTATGTCAGCCTAACATCAATCATCTTGGTCCAGAATGGAAGCCTGCCCTTCTCCTATCCTATTCCTCAGGCCCTGCTGTGGCCCTGTTGTGACTTAGGCCAGCCCAGTGTTCCCTGATCATGTGTATCAGACCAGGGGAAGGCCCTGGGAAAGGAAATGTTCCTGGCCAGTTCCAGGTACAGAGGAAAGGTAGATACTCTGGAT